TTTCAATCTTAGTTATTAAATATACCATCAATTGTTATTCACAACGTTTGGGGAAGTTGATTCTAAAGAATTTAGTAAGTCCAACGAAAGTAATTGATAGATTAATTCTCTGTGGATTCGACTCTGGGCATAAATACTCATGTTATATTTGCAACGTCCGCATTGTCCTTTTATAAGGCATAGTTGGGCGTGATCACAAAACCAACCTCATAAGTGGTTATGCGATCGCAAAGTAACCGCATTTGGTAAAGCTAGAAATGCTGGTGGTCTATCTCACTATGCAACACACATGCGGACCGTATAAAGGGTTTGTGATTGCATAACCCATTCTACATTAGGGAAACTTAGTGGTCATATGCGATGACTTTGTGGACCGCAAAGAGATTATGCGGCCCGCAAAGATCATCTTCCTCACGAAACACTACCCTCCCCAAATCACGTGGTTTCCTATGGCTACCGATTTAGAAGTTCAATGTCCATCTATCCAATTTCAAAAAGAGAGGGGTACTCAGACTTCCCCCTCTTTGGTCACAGCCCCAACAAATGACTCACACACAGTCAATTCACACACAAGAGGGACAGGGGTACTTAGACTTCCCCCTATTTGTTTCATCAACCATAATCTCAAAGGGATTCCACGGGGTCTGGGAAGTGACCAATCAGAGCTCAAGAGTACAGAAGCATTACACTGGCGAGATGGAGAAGAAAAAAAGCATACCAGAAGCACGCTATACTTTGTGAGAAACGGGTTCCTTGTGAGTATTGATTTGTTTTTATCCTTTCCCTTTTCTTCCTTAGCTGATTCTTTGTTTTCTCTTTTCTTTTTTTCTTTATTTTTGTTCTTTTGATTTGTTTTGTTTAAACATGAGTGTGTGAATAGATTGGGTTAGGGTTCATACGTGGCAGATATGCGGCTCTTAAGTTCGTCGCATAATACAATATGCGATCGCATAAGTGTTATGCGGTGGACTTATGACTGGGCAGCATAGATTCACTTTGCAATGCAAAATGCGATCGCAAAGTGGGTATGCGGGTCGCATAAAGTAAAAACCTACCGCATAGTTGACAACTAATGTAGCCAAGTTCTCCGTCTGAGTTTGCGATGACTATGCGGTTCGCATAGTCATTATGCGACCGCATAGTTGTCGCCCAATCTGGACCTCTCTTTCCTTCAGTTTCTTCAGCACTAGGACTCTGTTCATGATATTTTGGGACTACCTGCACTCTAGAACACACGTCAACTTGCTCAATCTAAACTATGTAAATAATAATATATAAATAAAAACTATAAAAGAGTGTTATCACACATGGGTTGCCTCTCAAGAAACGCTTGATTTAATGTCGCGACACGACGCAGTTGACTCATTTTGGATTATTCCTTGGTGGGGGCTACTATTGGACTATCCCTTAGAGCAAATTGTTCTAACAAATGCCTTTCTCCTGCGGTACCGAGGTAATGTTTGACTCGTTGTCCATTCACCTTGAAAGTTTGAGTCCCATACTCTGACTCCAGTTCAATAGCACCATAAAGGGACACACTCACAACTTTGAATGGGTCAGACCATTTGGACTTGAGTTTACCCGGAAATAACTTGAGTCTTGAATTGAAGAGTAAGACTAAGTCACCAGAATTGAACTCCCGCTTCAAGATCTTCTTATCATGGACAAACTCCATCCTATCTTTGTACATGGTTGCACTCTCATAGGTATGGAGACAGAATTCTTCCATCTCATTGAGTTGTGTCATCCTCAGATTAGCAGCCTCAGCCTAGTCAAGATTTAGCTTCTTCTATGCCCAGATGGCTTTGTGTTCAAGTGACATGCTTTGCCAAAAACCAACCTGTATGGTGAAGTGCCAATGGGGGTCTTAAATGTTGTGCGATATGCGCACAACGCATCATCTAGCTTCTTTGACCAGTCAGTCCTGTTTGCATTGATAGTTTTAGCTAGGGTGTTTTTGATTTCTCTATTTGAAACTTCAACCTGACCACTCGACTGAGGATGATAGGGTGTGGCCACATTGTGCTTTACACCATATTTTTCAAGCAGCCCGGCGAAAGCCTTGTTGCATAAATGAGACCCACTATCACTAAGGATGGCCCTTAGAGTACCAAACCGTATGAATATGTTCTTCTTCAAAAATGTGGTTACACTCCTTGCTTCATTGTTGGGTAATGTGATTGCCTCGACCCATTTAGAGACGTAGTCCACAGCTACCAAAGATGTAGGTCATGCCATAAGAGCTCACGAAGGGGCCCATAAAGTCTATCCTCCACACATCAAAGATCTCGACCTCTAGTACAAAATTCATAGGCATCTCATGTCTTTTAGATATTGACCCTTGTCTTTGACATTGGTCGCATGCCTTGACTATTTGATTTGCGTCTTGGTAGATCGATGGACAATAGTACCCACATTCAAGCACTTTTTCTGCCATCCAATTTCCTCATGATGGCCCCCAACTGGAGAATCATGGCATGCCTTGAGAATTGGCATTACCTCGCCTTCCGGAACACACCGCCGGATTATGTTATTGGTAGAAATACGAAACAAAAAAGGTTCCTCCCAATAGTAATGCCTACACTCCCGCAAGAACTTTTTCTTTTGATAAGCTTCCAATCCATCGGGAACAAGGTCACTAACCAAGAAGTTAGCGATGTCGGCATACCAAGGATCAAATGTGTTAGACAATGCCAATATGTGTTCATTTGGAAAGGCATCATTGATTTCAAGGTCTTCTTTTGGTCTCCCTGCCTCTTCAAACCTAGATAGGTGATAAGCAACTTGATTTTCTGTCCCTTTCCGATCCTTGACTTCAAAGTCAAACTCTTGCAACAGAAGGACCCACCGAATCAAACTTGGTTTGGCATCTTTCTTTGCCATAAGATAGTAAAGAGCAGCATGGTCGGTGTACACTATCACTTTGGACCCCAACAGATAAGCCCGAAACTTTTCAAAAGTATAGACAATGGCAAGAAGTTCTTGCTCAGTCACAGTGTAATTTATTTGAGCGCCATTGAGTGTCTTGCTTGCATAGTAGACAGGGTGAAGGATCTTGTTATGACGTTGGCCAAGCACCGTCCTAAAGCTACACCACTTGCGTCACACATGAGTTCAAATGGAAGAGACCAATCGGGTATGACAATAATAGGTGCCATGGTGAGCTTTTCTTTCAATTCCTCAAAGGCCTTGAGGCACTTCTCATCAAATACGAACTTTGCATCTTTCTCAAGGAGTTTGCACATGGGATTTGCAATTTTAGAGAAGTCCTTGATGAAATGCCTATAGAAGTTGGCATTCCCCAAAAAGCTTAGGACACCTTTAACTCAAGTAGGTTGAGGAAGTTTGGAAATGATCTCGATCTTTGCCCGGTAAACCTCTATGCCTTGTTTGGAAATTTTGTGGCCCAAAACAATGTCCTCGTCCACTATGAAGTGGCATTTCTCCCAATTTCGCACAAAGTTTGTTTCTTCACATCTTTTGAGCACTTGTCCAAGGTTGTCAAGACAATGCTCAAAGGAATTACCCACAATAGAGAAATCATCCATGAATACCTCTAAGAAATCCTCCACCATGTTTGAGAAGATTGACATCATGCACATTTGGAAAGTAGTCGGAGCGTTGCATAGCCTAAATGGCATCCGGCTAAATGCAAACGTCCAATATGGACAAGTGAATGTTGTCTTTTCTTCATCTTTCAATGCAATATTGATTTGGTTGTAGCTGGAATATCCATCCAAGAAGCAGTAGAATGACCTTCCCGCTAGCCGATCAAGCACTTGATCAATAAAAGGCATAGAGAAATGGTCCTTGCACGTAGCACTATTTAGCTTCCTCTAATCCATGCAAACCCTCCATCCGATCACTGTTCTAGTTGGGATTAGCTCATTTCTATCATTTTCAATCACGGTCATGCCTCCCTTTTTTGGCACACATTGCACCGGACTCACCCAAGAACTATCAGCAATGGGGTAGACTACCCCGATATCTAACCACTTGATGATTTCTTTCTTTACCACCTCCTGCATGGAAGTGTTTAACCTTTGTTGATGCTCCACACTTAGTTTACTCTTATTCTCCAATTATATCTTGTGTTCTCAAATTCTGGCGAGAATCCCTCGTATGTCCGCTATTGTCCACCCAATAGCTTGCCTATGCTCCCTCAAGACATTCAACAGTTGTTCTACATGCACATCATTCAACAAAGAAGAAACAATTACCGGTAGAGTGTCATTAGAGCCAAGAAATTTATACCTCAAGTGCGACGGAAGTGGTTTGAGCACTAGTCGTGGCGGCTCAATACTTGAAGGCTTGGCGGGAGGAGCGACTCTATTCTCTAAGTCGAGCGAGTGTTTCTTTGGAGCATAAGTGTAGGAACTAAACCCTTCCAATGCATTGACTGATTCCATGTACCCCTCCATATCTTCACCATCGAAATTTACCAAAATAGCCGCCAACGCCTCGCCAAGGCATTGTTCTTCCATCTTCATTTAAAATGCGTCTTCCACCTCATCAACAACATCAATCACCAAGATGCTTTTATATTCATGTGGCAGCTTCATACCCTGCTTGCTTGGAATGTGAACTCTTCATCATTCACACGGAACTTGATCTCATTTTGTTCCAAATCCATAAGTGCTCTTCCTGTAGCAAGAAATGGTCTCCCCAAGATGATAGGGATTTCTTTGTCAACTGCACAATCAAGGATTACAAAATTGGTGGGTAAATGGAACTCCCCCACTTTCAAAAGCACATCATCAACAATTCCCACCGGTCTCTTTATGGAACGATCAGCCATTTGCATCCTCATACTTGTAGGCCTCAGCATACCTAACCCCGCTTGCTTATAAATAGTAAGAGGCATTAAGTTGATGCTAGCCCCATTATCACAAAGAGCTCTTGCAAAATCACGCACCCCAATAGTGCATGGAATGGCAAAAGCTCCCGGGTCTTCTTTCTCTTGAACGGTGGTTGTTGCAATGATGGAACTAACCCGGTGAGTCACATTCACCACATCATTCTTGGTGGTTTTCTTCTTGGTTATCAAGTCTTTTAAATACTTAACAAAACCCAGTATCTCTTGAAATGCTTCCACCAATGGAATATTTACCGATAACTACTTGAGAATGTCATAGAAATTTTCGAGTTTGCTATCATCAACCCTCATATCAAGTCTTTGAGGTAAAGGAGGAGTATGTCTAGGAATAGGTGGTAGAGTTTTTGGTGTCTCTTTTACCTTTTCCTTAACCTCTTCCCGGTTCACTTCTTGAACTTTCAACTCTTCCGGTACCTTTTTAGCTTCAACATCAATTGTCTCTTCAACTTGTGCCTCAACCTCTTGTTTGGAATCTTCCACTTCAACCATTTGATACCCTCCTTTAAGTACCTTCCGTTGGACCACTCCCACTACCCTTTGGGTTCACAATTGTGTCACTTGGGAGTGTCCCCTTTTGCTTTGGATTTTGTTCCCTCGAGAGATTTCTCATATGCATCTCCAATTTTTGAATGGATGCGGTATGATAGCCGACAAGTTCGGCCATATTCCTCATTGAAGTGTCGGACCTTTCTTGATTTTGCAATACCTATTCAAGCATGTTTTCCAAGTTGGAATCACTTGAGGACCCTTTATTTGAATATTTCCCCTTTAGTGGAACATAAGGGTTTGAACTCCGATTTGAGAAGTTGTTGTTGTTGTTATTCCTATTCCCTTGATTTGAGCTACCTTGGTAATTTCACCATTGTTGGTTGCCTTGCCCTTGCGGGTTAGGCCTCCATTGATTTTGTTGTCCTTGACCTTGGTATTGTTGCCTTTGATAGCCTCCTTGAGAGTTGTTGATATAGTTTGCTTCCTCATAATCTTCATTTGATGTGGGTTGAACATCTTCCACCACATTTGTCACACCTCCTTTTTTACTACCCCGGAAAGGGTATAAGGGAGTTTTTTCCAATTTAAATGACAATCGAAACTGGATCATTTATTTATTGCTCAGAGTCGCCACTTGGGATGATTTATGGTGTCCCAAGTCACCGGTTTAAAATCCCGAATCGAGGAAAGATTGACTCTGTTTTATAGTCCGCGAACACAGAAATCCGGGTAAGAAATTCTGTTAACCTAGGAGAAGGTGTTAGGCATTCCCGGGTTCCGTGGTTCTAGCACGGTCGCTCAACTATTATTATTGGCCTAATTATCTTGATTTGTCACATGTTTTAAACCTACATGCATTTTTAAACCTTTTAGCCGTTTTTAATTATATAAAGAATTAATTCAAGGTTATTTAAAATACATCACAAGCCACGCTACATGAAATGCAATCGTGATTCACGACACGTTCTATTTAACCTTGTTGGAAATAACCGGGTCACATGAAATGTACACCCGAATTTTAGTAGTAGCCAAGATAATTATATAATTAACGGGCCTAGAGCAAATGAAAAAATATCATGTATCTTCATGTCAATTAACAGAACAAAAAAAAAGCAAATTAATGAAAAATATTTAGAGCATTCATGAGGAATTGAAAAGATAAACGAACTAGAAGTTCTAGTTATTGGCATACAGTGAATTAAAAAAAATTATAATAAAGTCAAACCCCTAAACAAAATAAATACTCCAGCACTAAAATTCTTGTTTTCATGATTCTTATGAAAGAAAGCAATAGCACACTGCTACACTTCATCAAGAATATTCCATACAAACAATTTCACATTCTTTCGACTTCTCAAACAAGGAACCAAACTCGAGATTAGAAATATCGTTTCTAGCAAAATCAAAATAAAGAAAGCATAGTAGATAATACTATCATGAACCAAAAAATCATATACATATCAGATAATCCACCACATATGCAATAAATTACCTTAGTTCCACCATCAATCAGAAAAGAATGATCATAGAGGTAATAATAAAGCTCCTTCTTCGAATCAAACACAATCGAATACGGCCCATCACTACAACAGAAAACAATATCACAATAATCCGACAACCTCTAGACGGAACTCAAACCGGCACCGAAAACCTCGACTCAACACAACTTCAGACGTTTCTGCCTGCTCCCCTATTTTCATTACTATTTTTCGAACTCCTTTTCTTCTTTTCTTTTGCAGCTAGCTGCTGGTTTGGTCAGAGATGGGGGTTCGGAGAGAGGGGTTGAAGAGTGGTGTTTATATTCCGGCGAACTGCTGTTGCTGGCGATTGATGATTAAGATAAGGGTTTGGGCGGGGTTGTTGGTTTTAGAGTGAGGAGACGGAAAGGTCTATTATTTATTCTGTAAAAAATGGTTGTCAGCTAAAATCCCTAGGTTCAGTCTTTTTGTTTGTTCTCCTTTCGCTGATTTTCTTAGGTCCTTTTATAAAGAAACGACAGATTCCCCTTGAAATTGTCTAGGGGTCTAACGTGCTCATTTGGGTGAGGGTCCGTGTGTGTTTTTGTTCCAGCAGAAAAGGGCTAATGGGGTGTGTCGAGGGAGATGATGTTTAGGGGGGGTCATTTTTTGGTTCTACGGCGCTGCAGCTTTTTGTCTTCTAGGCATTATTTTGTATATTTCAGCTGCTCGTTAGGGATTTAGGTTCTTTCATTTTCTTCTCCCCGAACGGCTGACACTGTCGAGTGTGTATTAATAGGTTAGGTCTAGGTTATTATTTGGGTTTAAGGGTATTGGGTTCAAGGAATGGGCTAGAAACTTGAGCATTTATGACTAGCTGTGCTAAAAATTAGCTTAATTAACTAAAAATCTATCCATATAGAAATATTACCAAAAATATTAATTTGCCCTACTTAAGTAAAAATAATTATTAAATAAAATTGACCATTAAAAAAAACTATTTTTTGGTATTTTTTAAGATTAAAAATGACTACAAAACCTTAATGAAACTATATTTTTTTCTAATTTTTGTTTTCTTGTAATAAAATAAAGTAAAAGAGTCAAAATTAATTGAAATAGCGATATTAGGCCTAACTTAAATATTTACGTGCTAAAATATGAAAAATCTTGGGGAGGGTCAAAAATTACATGTCTACAGCTGCCCCTCTTTTAGGGGTGGGCATTCGGTCGGTTCGGTTCGGTTTGAAGAAATTCGGTTCGGTTATTCGGTTTTCGGTTTTGTAAAAGTAGTAACCGAAACCGAACTTAAATAAGTCCGGTTCAGTTCGGTTATTCTAATTTCGGTTCGGTTATTTCGGTTTGGTTTGAACATTATCATATTGGACTCCTTCTATGTAATAATACGACCGACGAATTTGTTGATTTTTCCCAAAACTTCGAAATTGTTAGAAATATTGTGTTTATAGAAAAAAAATAGACTAAACTTTGCACACTTTATGGATCATAAAATTCAAACATATTGTAAATTACAACTCTGTGTGAAATTCTCCCGGTATCTATCACATATGCTATGGAAGTTTTAATAGACTGAAAGTCTTTAAGATTGGAAAGTTGATGGACTTACTTAATTGGGTTGAGTTTTTGATAGATTGGACCTAATAGTATTAATTTATTATCTATGGGCTTAGCCTCTGTATAACTTAAAGAACATATATGTTAATAATTCGGTTTTTCGGTTAACTGAACAAAAAAACTTAATAACCGAAAACCGAACCGAAAAACCGAAATTTTAAAATTTTAAACCGAAACCGACCGAACAAACCGAATAACCGAAACCGAAATAAGAAAAAATTCGGTTCGGTCAGTTTATTCGGTTCCGACCGAAATATGCCCACCCCTACCCTCTTTGACTGGAAATACGTAGTATCTTCAGACAAAAAACAACTAGACAGGTTTTTTGACCCAACTCTTATTTGGAGAGACTAAAACTAAGAGAAAAGGGGAATGTGACCGAGCCCTGGTATCTGAGCTGCCTACATATCCTTGGCTATAAACGAATCAGGCCACGTGCAGTTCAGAAGTGAGTGAGATGATGGAGTATACCGAGGTGGAGAGCCGATCGAGGTGCCGTTCCATCGAGGTTCCAATCCGCGGTCCTGTTATTACATCAAAAATAAAAATGAAAAAGACTTAAGCCTGTCAACTATGAGTTACAAGATTCCTATCTATAAGTCTTCTGAAGCTTGATCTTGAGTCTTGAATGGTTCTTCATGCGGACTTTGGATTTGAACATTGACGCTTGCTAGTTACAGGTGCTAGTTCATTCTTCTTTAGCTTTTCGGATCAAAATCGGACATACCATGCTTGTGACTTTAGTCATGTCTTGAGCAGACCGCATCTTTCATCAACTTCTGCATTTGGATTCACTTCTTGCCTTTCTTTTTTTTAATTCTGGATTGTGACTAACTTCTGTTGATCATCTCGGACTGTTGACTCGCATTCTTATTGCAAGCTTCTTTTGTTGCTGACTTGAATTGCATTCTGAAGTGAATTCCCTTATTCTCCAGGTAGGCGCCTGATTGCCAATACTCGAACTGTCTTCCTTCGAAACTTGGACTGCTTTTCCCTTTGTTCTCCAGGTAGGTGCCTGATTACCAACATTTGAATTGTATTCCTTCCCTCTTGAATTATTTTCCCTTTGTTTTCCAGGTGGGTGCCTGAATGCTGAACTTGAACCATCTTCCTTTGAACATTGTTGCTTTTCCTTTGTTCTCCAGATGGGCTCCTGATTTCCAACACTTGTACTGTTTTTCCCTCGAAACATGACTCGTTTTCCCTTTGTTCTCCAGGTGGCTCCTGATTGCTGAACTTGAACCGTCTTCCTTTGAACATTGCTGCTTTACCTTTGTTCTCCAGGTGATCTCCTGATTTCCAACGCTCCTTGACTCATTTTCCCTTTGTTCTCCATGTGGGCTCCTGATTTACATCACTTGAACTGTTTCTCCTCGAAATTGAACTGCTTCCCTTTGTTCTCCAGGTGGGCGCCTGATTACCAACACTTGAATTGATTTCCCTTTGTTCTCCATGTGGGCTCCTGATTTCCAACACCTGAACTGCTTTCCCTTTGTTCTCCATGTGGGCTCCTGATTTCCAACACCTGAACTGCTTTCCCTTTGTTCTCCAGGTGGGCTCCTGATTTCTAACACTTGAACTGCTTTTCCTTTGTTCTCTAGGTGGGATCCTGATTTCCAACACTTGAACTACTTTCCCTTTGTTCTCCAGGTAGGCTCTTGATTTCCAACAAAATAGATAAAACAAAAGAAATTTTTCTGCCCCAGTTTGATATTGGGAACATCTTTGAGCGTTAATCGAATCTTGTTATCAAAAGAGCTATAAGAACTCAAAAGCTAAATCCCATTGTCTAGGAGGATCCTAAAAATTTCAAATTAAATCTCATCATAAGAGTGAAAACTTTAAAGCTAAACTATGTTTCCTAAAGGTAGAACTTACACTAAATCTTGTTAACTATGAAGGTCTTAAAAT